AGAACCCCAGTAACAGAGTTGTACATGAATAAATTTACCTTAAAAAACTATTTGAAAGGTGCCCGAAAATTATCGAGTACTACTGTATCGACGTAATAAAATTTGTGAATTTATTTAAAACAATCAGAAAATCGTCCCGAGAACAAGCAAACCCAACCAAGAAGTTGCGCAAATGAACATACATGACGTGTATTTGTAGTTCCAGGAAGTGTTTGCCAACACCAGTGCACATAAATTTTCTGGGGCTTATTCATGTGAACAAAGGACATTGCAAGGATGAGAGCCTGAGCCATTAAGAGGTTTTTCATAAGAATCCCTTATATAGTTCCTTGCTACTTGCACTGGAAGCTTTGCTTGTTCCACCAGTGCCTTCATCAAGATATCTGTGTAACCCTTTGATGGTGCGCACCGGGGACGTTTCCCTGACCTGAAGTCTTCGATTACCGATGGCGAGCATCTGCAGTTCACACAAGAATTAAGGGGAGAAATTGTAATATTAATGCAGCAAGCATTTTTCATATTTTGCTGGGGGTTGATTTGGAAAAAACGTCGAACAAATGTCCCTTTTGTTGTCTATTAACACACAAAAGATAAAACAACACAGAAATCTCAACCGATTTTTCTCTGTCATCCTGTTAAAATATAATAATGGAGAAAGATCTACAATTATGCTTTCTAAATCTTACTCCTTACGTAAATGTCAACACCGGAATCATCTCTACGTCTCCCATGTATACAACTGTTTTGTACCAGCCTGCCTGAAATCATCTAAAAAATGTTAATAGTCACAAAAAAATAAAATAAAATAAAATAAATAAAATACAAAATCACAGATTTAGGATTTGTATGTTAATCTCACATACTTGAAATAAGCAGCTAATGAAATACAAAATAAAATTAAAAAAAAAAAAAAAATAAAGAAAATTTTGAAATATGATGAATCACTCATGAAATTCAGGACTGATATGGTCTATGTTCAGAGGAAAGATAAGGTAGTAAGACATAATTGTCCAGGTAGCACAATTGTCCAAGAGTTTAATGTACAGTTTATTTGTTTACTGATGACAAGCATGCAAGTGTATTTCAAAGGTTTATTAGTAACCCATTTAGGATTGCCATCATTTGTTGAGTGGGCTGAAAAACGGGAGGTGCAGAAGTTGAAGAATTCTCAACTCCTTCAACTAAGCACCTAACCCCGACACAGTGACTTACAGGATAGGGATTCTAGTTAGAAGACTGAAACTAATGAGAAGATAAATCAAGCCATCTGACCGATCAGAAACTCATGCTATACATACTTATTGACGAATGAAAGTTACCAAAACAGCAAAACATAATCGAATGATTCATATTTTCAGAATTCCATTCAACCATAAACATTCGGATTTAAATACTATAGCTTTCAAAAAATAAAAAAAAAAATAAAATAAAATAAATCTAGGTAAGTTTTGTAATCAAAATGCTTATGCTGTGTCTCCAAGTTGTCTGAATTTGGGGCATACCTTGATAGCCTTCATGAATATATACCCTCTATGCCTGATGGACATCAAGTCAGTCCAGGTGAACAAGGGAAAATTCTTAACAAATTTTCCACTATTCTCTTGTCTCATAACATCATTGAACTGTTGAAGACTATCAAGAAAAAAGCAATGGTTATACAGCACATCAGCTAAGGCAGTCTAAACATCATGCAATGATTAAGGATAATAAAAAAATAAAAAAAATAAAGAAGTGAAACCAATCGATAAGTTAACCTGATTTTGTAAATGCGAATATGAGATTTGTGCTTCCTATCCTTGTGTAGTTCAAGGAACGCAACACCACCTGGGCCCCACGCCTTTGTGTGGTTACGTCCAAAAAACATACGATAATTAGCAGTTCCCCATCTTGTACTCTGGGGTCTAGTCTTGTCCCTACTTCCTTCACAAGGTCTCTCCATACCCACAACCTATAATTTATTTTACTAGAAGTTAAGCCACTGCTATAAAAATATGTGTATATCAACGATTAGATAAAACGACGAGGTAAATAAGTTAGTATTTGTAACAAATTCGTTTGTATGGTTATGGTTCCGAAACTTCACTTTTAAGTCTAAATATAAAATATAGATGTTTGGAGTCTCAATCCTAGAGTTCAAGATTTTGGAGGCCTAAACCAAACAGACCCTTCAAATTAATATCCTTTCCAGAAAGAAGCCCGAAGTCAGATCTAAGTCATAATTAGTTGCAGCTCCAAGCAATATTAATTCAAGAGACGGGCTGATAACCAAGAAAGCAAGAATTGCTGTAATTATTTGTAAAACTTAATACTTGTTTAGATAGCCAAAAGGGTATCTAAAAGGCCTACCCCAACTTGTTTGGGACTAAAAGGCTATGTTGTTGTTGTTGTAGATAGCCAAAAGGGTATCTAAAAGGCCTACCCCAACTTGTTTGGGACTAAAAGGCTATGTTGTTGTTGTAGATAGCCAAAAGGGCCTGCATTAAACAACTAGCCATAATTTAAGACAGATGGTTCAACAAAACCGAAAGTTTTATGAGGTATGCTACAAAACGATGCTTGCCTGTCCACCTTCAATGTAGCAGAGGAATCTCTGCATGTCCATATTTGATCCATAAGACGCATACAACACAAATGCCTTGCGCATAATATTTGTCACATCTATCATAATTGCTGTTAGTTCACTGTGAAACACAACAACTAGAATAACGAACACTTCAGTTTTTAAGCTTAATTTGTAACATACTATTGCTAGGAGGCTCATTCGGTTCAACCGAGGGATTTTCCATAGCTGCAGGTATATTGTTGGAGATTCCTAGAGGAAATCTATTCTTAGCATCACAATAAGGGCTTTTAATCTGTAAAATGATAGTAAAATGTATGGAACATCAGAAAAATAGGAAAAGGAACAGAGATTAAACATAAAATTGCTCGCACGAGGGAGAGATTAAAACGCACCATTATAAAAAGAAATACCAAGGATCTCAACCTCATTATGTGTTCCCATCTTGCCATTTTCATTTTTATTCTTTCTTCCTTCCTCTAGCATTTGATTAAACTATGAACTAACCAACTTGGCCAAAATTCACAAAACATTATGAGCATGATAAACCATGACGATACAAACGGTCTTCCTTCAATATCTGGAAACAAATGACCATAGCGGATCGATTGCTGGTAAATGAAATATGCAGAGATATTTATTACACTAATAATCAAGAAATTTACAATCAATGTATTTTTCCTATTTACTTCAGCAAAAGGCATATCTAGAAATATAGACAAGAATTGAATTAACAAAGGAATTTGATCTGTTTAATGAGTTATCAGAAAAGAGTTGCTACTATTTTCACATGGTTGACACTCATGTACTTTACCAATATCTGCATAACAAGAACACGGAGACCATGAACAAATGAATGTTGGGTCTCTTCAAGTGAGACAAGAGATGCTAAAAGCAATATAATATGCTACACCAGTTTGTAATAATATAAATAAGCACAGAAACACACTAAACTACTAAACCCCATTCATCCATGATCGATTCGATTGACTATCGAATTAAGCTAAAACAGAATTTTGAATTTTTCAATAAATAATTAAAAATTCTTGAACATTGATGTGTTAGCCGACCTTTTTACACCTCCAAATAGAGATTCCTAGTCCTCCGTTCTCCATGGAGAATGAGTACCCAACATACCCATCAGCCATGAGTGTATCATTACTCAAAGTAATGAGTGCATCATTACTCAAAGTAATGTCACCAATAATCCCCACATGAACATAATCCATCCCTAAAGTGGTGGAACCGGTTGATATCCCGAATAATTATTTCTCTCGATTCTATCATACATATGTACTTGAACACCGTGTGGCAGTCCACACATATGCGGAGATTCTTCTTCACCCTAATGGGGGCTCCTGGTGGAGTCACAATCAGTCCAAAAGCCACTGCGAGTTTTTCACTGTGAAACGAGAGCAGGAGTTCCTTCTCTTTCTTCTCCACATGATGGAGGTCAGTTTCTAACATAGGAACATAGCCGGCTTTTGCCATCTTGAGTCTCAGTTCCTCAAGTTTTGCATAAATCTCTTCACTTCTAGGGTGGCTTTTGTCCCCGACTATGAATGTGTGTATGTTATCTTTCACCTCCATCCAGCTCATCCCCGGCTCCTTCTTCACGTTGCTATCCTTCATTAATCTTCGTGCTTTTGCAACACCGTCCCATAATCCTGCTGAGGCATAGATATTTGCCAAGAGAACATGGGTCCCTGATTTTTCGGGTTCTAGGGTGTGAAGCATGTTGGCTGCATGCTCCCCAAGCTCCACGTTCTTGTGGGTTTTGGCAGCCCCTAGAAGCGCCCCCCAAATGGCCCCATTTGCTTCAAATGGCATACTGTTTACTAGATTCATTGCACTATCCAACTTCCCTGCCCGGCCAAGGACATCAATCATGCAAGCATAATGTTCTTGAGTTCGATCGATCCCAAATCTCTCTTTCATCGTGTCAAAATACATTTGGGCTTCCTCAACTAGACCGGCATGGTTACAGGCACTAAGGACACTGACTAATGTCACGTGATTGGGGGAAACACCGTCTTTCAACATATCATTGAACAAATGTAGTGCCTTTTTACCATGGCCGTGTTGTGCGAGCCCACCAATCATTGCGGACCATGATATGACACTTTTCTCAAGAACCTCATCAAAAGCACGACCTGCCTCCTCTATACTTCCACATTTAGCATACATATTGACAAGTGAATTCCCAGCGAAAGAATCAGACATGAACCCCATCTTCAGGACATGAACATGGATTTGCTTCCCCTGTTCGTAAGCTGATAAATTTGCACAGGCATTGAGCAGTGAACTGCAAACAAAAGAATCTGGTGCAAGACCCCTGTCCAGAACCTTCAGATAGAGCTTTAGAGCTTCTTCCCCTTGTCCACATTGAGCATAGGTAGTCATTAACGAGGTATAAGATGGTAAATCCCAAACCGGGCATTCTTCAAAAATCCGACCCGCATCATGAACCTGCTTGCATTTCCCATACACATCGACCAGGCTGTTTAAAATGAAACTATCAGCTTGGTAGCCTGATTTCACAATGAGTCCATGAATCTGTTTGGAGACAGTAAGAGCCTCCAAACTAGCAACTGTATTGAGGGCAGCTAGTAAAGTTGCCTGATTAAATTCCATTCCTTGATTGTACATCGCCATAAACAGGGTTAATGCTTCCCAATTCTCCCCATTCTGTGTATGCCCGGCGATCATTGCATTCATTGCCACCAAGTTTTTCTCTGGCATCAAACGGTATACCATTGATGCATGTTTCATCATTTGGCACTTGCAATACATGTCAATTAGCCCTACAAAAACAAATGGATCCATCATTATCTCCATCTTCATCAACCTGGCATGCAATTGTTTGCCCAATCTCCCATCACCCAACGCCGCGCATGCTTTAAGGGCACTTGGTAACGTAAACACATTCGGGTTTACACCTAATCTCTGCATGTGGTCTAAAGATGCCAAAGCTTGATCGTAATATCCATGCAATACACAACCAGAAATTAGCGCATTCCATGAAACAATATCAGGTTCCGGAATATTACCAAAGACATTAATTGCATCTTTAAAATCACCCACTTTTGTATACATATCAACCAACGCATTCATAGAGAACTGATCACATTCATAACCAAGCTTTATAAGGTAGCCATGAACCTTCTTCCCCTGATCGATATCTCCAAGCCCCGCCGCAGCGTTCAACACAGTCGACAAGCAGTACTCATCCGGCCTAACTCCACTACAAACCATCTCCCCAAACAAACCCATTGCCTCACTTAAAAAATCTCCCCGTGCGTAAAGCGAAAGCAAAGTATTCCAGGAGACCACATTCCTCTCCTCTATATCCTCAAACAATCTCTTGCAACCCAAAAAATCATTACATTTTGCATACAAAATTACCAAAGTATTGGCAACATACACGTCCGACCCGAAACCCGTCACGAGCCCGAGTCCATGAACCTGTTTCCCGAAGGTGAAGTTCTTTGTTTCAGAACAAGCCTTGAGCACGCTGGACAAGGCGTACTCGTTGCACCTGACGTCCAGCGACCGCATCTCGCGAAAGGCGAGAAGGGCCTCCTTTCCAAACCCATTCTGGACGTACCCGGAGACCAGGGAGGACCAGGAGACAAAGTCCGGCTCGGGACTTTCGTCGATCAACTTCCGTGCGTAGCCGAATAACTTACACTTTGCGTACAGGTTCACCAGATGACTGCGGTGTTTGTCGCCGTCGAATAGTCCGGATTTGATGAGGTGGGCGTGGACTTTTAGGCCTACGTTTACGGACTTGGTCTGAGCGAGCTTGGAGAGGAGCTTCCCGTAGGTAATGTAAGGCGACGCGATGTTTGGGACTGTTGAAAGATACATATAATCGAGCGGCGAGAAAGAAAACAAAGAAAGAAGCGAAGTGGGTCGAAATTCAACGTGAATGAGGGGATGCCGCCGCCGGCTGTGGTGGCGGCAGTGGGATGTCGAGCTGTGCTGCAGAAGTGTCGAAGTCGCGCTGTGAGCTGAGGCTGTTTAAATATCAACTGTACCCTCATTGGAGTTGATTTTGAGCTCTAGCTTTGACTTTGAGTGAATTTCGATTTGAATGCCAAGCTATATTCAATTGGAATTTAAAGGGACATGTTGAGACTTTTAAAAATTTGAGATTTATTAGATATTGAGATTTTGGAAAAATTCCTAAAGATTGGAAGTGTGATTTGAAGTAGGATTTCGTATAAGTTTTTTTCTTTAGAAATCCCACCAAATCTTACATAGTCTTAACGAGTTTTATTCTCAAATAAGTTAAATAAATCATGATTTTGTGAGCTTTTTAATATCTCAATTGGATGCCACCAAGACTTTTAAAAGTCTTAACGAATCTATAAATTGATGAAAACTCTAGGATTTTTTAAGTCTTAAAAAAACTTTAAAAAATCTAATTAATTACACCTCCAATGTTTCATTAGCTTTTAGGGGTGAATATTGTGTATGTTTATGTTGGTATTTTTATATGTTTTTTAATTTTTTATTTAGTTTATTTTGAGATCTTTTTTTAATATTTCGATCTATTAGGTTGGTTTTGCTCGTTTGTGTATTTTCGGTGTTATTTGTATATATTTTCGGCTATTTTTCGTATACTTTCATGTTTCGTTTTTGTAAAAGTGTTGCTTGGATGGATATTTTTTTTCAGAACCACCGGCGGATTAGGGCCAAAAATTCACCTGAATAACCCCCACGCATTGTGCGAAGTATGAGGAACATGAACTGAGAGTTTTTAGGTCAGCCGAGGGCCGTCGCGCTGGGCTCGCACCCGACAGCGCTGTCTGGCACCCTGTAACCAATTCGAAGAGCTCGGAAACACAAAATATCTTGTAACTATAGTTTCGTAGGTTTTGTCTGTCTTTTTCCTCTTACTCATGCTTGAATTGTTCCAACCGAACACATAGTGAACTATCGCTTGTGATCTCTTTTGTTATTTGTAATTTTTTGTTTATTAATTATTATTGTTGATTGAATGTGAGATTGATACAAAAGTTCAGAAAATAAAAATAGCAAGTTCATCACATCTATATCTATCTATCTATAATCTATAACTCCCTTCTATAATCTATAATCTATAATCTATCTATAATCTATATCTATAATCTATCTATCTATATCTATAATCTATCTATAATCTATATCTATCTATAATCTATAATCTATAACTCCCTTAAAAGGATGAGTTATTTCTTGAAAATTTTGAAATGCCTATATTACCCTCTAAAGTTTTACCATTTAAGGACATAAATGTCTCTAAAGTTTTACCATTTAAGGACATAAATGTAATAAGATAACTTCATTAATATCTCATCCAACCACATTGAAATAAAATTTGAAATGTCACTACTACACCCAATAAAAATAATGTTACTTCAAAAGTATTATATTATGTTACTTACTTACTTCCAAAAATTTATATTATGTCTTATTCCAACTACAGAATAACTGAAATATTAAAACACATGACTTAATATAAAATTGTTTCAAATAATTTCAAATAAAATGTTTTAAATCATATTTTGATATTCTAATCATGAATTCATGACATAGTACTCAATTTTTTCTTATAATATTCCTTGTGTATATTATAATTAATAATTTTTATGATATTAATCTACTGAAAAAAAAATGACCGGTATCCAAATTTTTAAATGAATGTATTGGCACAACTACAAAAGTAAGATTTTTTTTTTTTCTGTACAAATATTAAAAATTCTTGTAATGCAAAGTCAATAAAAAATAAAAAAAAAATAAATAATCAATTGAACTAACCTTTTATTGAAACAAAACATTTATCTATTTAACTGGTTTTTTTCCAACGTCATAATATATTAATCTTTTTTATTCTTATTGTATTATTTTATTATAAATATATCATTCAATTAACTTATGGTTCTCATTGTTTTTTATTATTTACCAAATATTTGTATGTTATTTTTTTAATTAATTTTTTAAATATTAATGTATTAAAATGTTTGTATGCTATTTTTTTTCATTCATTTGTCTTAGTATTAAAAATAGTTATTCAACATAAAAATATCAATGTTTTATGGAAAAAAAATATTAGTTAAGTGCAAATATATAGTTGTAATAGAAATACTTTGTTTAAATTATTCATTAAAATATATGCATGATACAATTTAACTTTATCTGTTAGTAGTATGTTAGTAGTATGTACAATATAAATGTTCTTTTATGGTAATATGTGTTACATAAATTAACCTACTATTTACTTTAATTGTAATAGAAATCAAAATATAGTAATTATAAAAATAAAATAAAATAAGTAATACTCGATTTTAAAATCTTGAATTTCAAAATATGTGGAATTGGTTGAAAATATATAGTTATAATAATTATAACAATTATAATAATTAAATAAAAATAAATATTACATTTACTTTAAATTTATTTCAATAGACTATCTTATTATAAATCATAGATAAATTTAATTTTTCAAATCACTTCTTAAAACTAGGAAACCTAAACCTTGTAAAAATATTGACAAATATATAAAATAATGTTAAGATAAAAGTAAAATATGAAAGAATCATGATTTTACAATTTATTTAAAATAGAATTATTATTTTTTTCACTTTTTAGATAGTCTTGAAAATCCATGAACAAAAATGATAATGCATGTATGACAGCGTTTGGAGGTGTAACAACAATTTATTTTGGATAATATATATAGATAAGCACCTTCAATTAACCAATGTTACAACATTATATATAGATAGATGGGAACCTTTAATCAATCAAGGATGTTATTGTTCCTAATTTCAAGTAATTGTTTTTTTTTAAATATTTACAACTTTAAAGATATTTTCAAACATTTATATCTCTTATATCATTATATACAGAGAGAACATATATATCTAAATATTACAAAATATTACACGTGCAAATATAATTGAATTTGCAACCGTTATAATCAAAATAATAGAAAACGAAACATTCAACCACAGTGTCAGCTTCCAATCAACAATAAGCAAATGATAATTACAAATTATAGTTATAGTAAATTCGAGTTATTATTCAAATAGTAAGACGCAAAAGGAAGACATTAAAAAAGATATTATTTTCACAATAATAATGATCATTATTTTAAGCATAAGGATGATACACTAAATAACAAAATCAAGGACGACATAGATTTCTTCAGCATTTCAATTTTTTTTAGAAAAATATTAATTTTATTTTAGATTTTCTAACCAATATTTTTTATTTAATTTTATTTGTCATAGAGTTCTGTTAATAGTATTAAATTTTATATTTTATCATAAAATACACAATTTTTTGTTAAATAATGAAAAGAAAATTATATTGTGCTATTAAATTAAATATATAATAAAAATAATTTTGAGTAAAAAAAATTAATATCACGTAGCACGTGCATCTTCCTAGTATTACTAAAGCCAAC